TTGCCCCCCCCCCCCATTATTTGGATTTATAATGGGGAATAGTGTTTTTTTTTTTTTTTTGAAAAATAAATTTTTGTAATTAAAAGAATGAAAAGTTTTCGATTTGCGTGAAATATTATTTTGTGGAAGGTTATGTGGTTGAAGATAGAAGAAAAAACTTTTAATTTAAATTGATGAATTTTAAAGGGGACCACATGGGGGCTTAATTACACATCATGGGAGAATAAAAGTACAAGAAGAATTTAAAGTACATTATCAGGTATTAAGGAAAAACGAGAAAAAGATAAAGACCTTGTATTAAGAATCCGCTTTTTTCTTGTAAAATCCTTGAAACCCTAGCTTGTTGATTGATTTCATGATTTTTCTCTCCTTTTGCTTGAATAATATATGTAGAATGATCCCTAAGCCTTGGCTTAAATGTATGTGTATAGTGAAACTCCATAAGCCCCCCTTCTAATTGTTAGACTGAGGTATGTATTTATAGAAAAGATTTATGTAAAATCCTTGTTCAACTTAATTTCCACCAAAAAGTTTAAATTGGATTCTACTAAAGAGTTCAAATTAGCTTCTATCAAAGAGTTTGAGAAATAAAAGGAAACAAATTTCTTTTTCAATTGAACTCATTTTCTCATGTACCTTTATTCCTCCATCTTCTTTTATTTTGCAATTAAGTCGTCTTCATTCAAAAATCATAATAGTTGACACAAGACAAGTTTCAAAGTTTGCAATCAGTCCTCAAACTTTTCAAATATTGAATTTAGCTCTCGAAACTCATGAATTTCTAAGGTGTGCTCCATTAATATATTTAATTGATCTCTTGCAATCCGGTTAATTTTCAATTGCTTTAAATCAACACCAATTTAGCTCCAAATAGCCTTTTTTTTCATATAAATTGCATTCGAGTTGGGATTGTCCTACAATTGACATAAATTAAGTAGATAATCGCTCATTTATATATTTTTACATAAGAATAGAAATTCGAATAAGCACATAAAATGCACTTAGAGAGAGAGAGAGAGAGAGGCAATCTTACAAAATTTTTAGAGTAAAAATTGCATTACCCATTACTTGGGTGGGCTTTGGGTCTATATAGTAACTTAGTTGAAGTGGTGGCCGTTGGATGAAAAGGCACGTGCTTCATCCTAACGATCAAAGCATCCCATCATTAGTGATCACGTCAAACATCCTAGGCCCAATTGTATTTAATGTTATTTGAAAACGTATCCCTTCTAGGACCTAGGTCTGCATACCTATATAATAGGTTGTCATGACTTGACATTTATGGTACTACAAGAGATCACTTCCATCACTTCCACGTAATTTTATGTGTAAGATATCTCTTAGGAGAAGCTAAATTCCCTAGAAGAAGTGACAAAGATGCTCCTCAACATATGAGGCTTCCACTTCGCTAAAGTGAACTTTGGCCTCATCAGGCGCTTTGGTAGGTTTACTTTATATGTTAGTGGGCTTAGGTTGAAGCGCCTGCTTCGCCATCCTTGGAGACGTAGAGTGTGTGCCTTGATGACAAGCTTGGATAGCTTACCACGTGGTTGCTTAGTGGGCTTCTTCTTGAGCCTCGGTGACAATACCACATGTGCTTCTCCTTGAGTCTCGGTGGCAAGGTATAACAAAAGCTACAGTTTTCATGCAATCTAACTGCTGATCAATGACTTCAAGGTTGAATCATTCAAGGGAATACGCATAATTACGCATCATTATCTAAAATTACAATACATTTAATCTATATTTAGACCAATCAAAATAATATACAATTTCTCCAATTTTTAAATGACATTCAAATTTAATTATAATTGGATATGAATGAGTAACCATGCATCTTTATCTACCATTAAAGATGTTATATAATGATTCAATCACTTCACAACCAATTAATTTCAGCCAACCAATATTATATAATTAAATTCTTACTTCAATCCACTTACATACAAATTGATTCAACATGTGCCATTTATTCCTCATCTCTTTAAGAGATTTCGTCCATCAAGTTATTTAAATAAAGTAACACGAGAAATTCTATTTAATTCGATCGTTCAAAATAATTTGGTGTTTAGAAAAATAACTTCCATAAAATGAAATATCTTTATAGTCTATTTTCCTTTTAAGGACTATCAAAATACTTGAATTGAAGTCTTTTGTAACCCATTTATAAAAATTAAGCGCACGTGATAGTGCAAGGTCTTTGATGAAAGACTGAATTCAAACTGTATTTTGAAGTTAAATCTAGATGTGTAACCTTCTAAAAATCTTAAATATTTAAATGAGATGGGACTTTGACAACTTAGTATACCTTCGGTCATGGGACAAATTTAAGCATCGATAATTATCATCCAATGAACAATGAAGTGTTATCTAATTAGCATTATAAGATGAATAATCCTATTTATCTCCATTAGAAACATGATGTATATGACATGACATGAATGATAAGACCAAGAAGTAGATCTTATTTCCATACATCTAATTAACCCTAAATTTAATAGTATATTACCTACAATAACCTGATTATCATCTCAAATAGAGATAAATAACATTACTCTTATAAGACTGTTCATAAAAAAACGACGACAAAGTTATATGGATGTCCCCCTATCTTGCTCCTCGACATCCCATCCCATCCCACTTGAAAATTGGAGTTCTGCCATTGAATCTCCTATCATAAATCCAACCTAGTTCTTTTCTTAAGACCTTTGAATTACATCTCATTTCATGTTCAATCACTATGTGTCATGATTCACTGGATGATTTATGAGCTTAGTATATTTTTTAATAATACATAAGTCATGTATGTAAATACTCAATTTTATTTTATTCTTTTAATTGAATTAAAATAGCAATTGTAGCATTTAAAGTAACAATCTAGCATGTCACTGGAAAAAACTAGAAGGAAAAATATGACTAAAATTAGTCAAAATAGCTTGCGTTTTAAGGAGTATTTTTAATATTTCTTGGATTGATCAAACTACTGGAATGTCTTAAAAAATGGTAAACAGAAGCATGCATACTCCAAATGATTGCTTGTTTCAAATAAATTCTATCCATGACTTTATTTCAACACAATCAATTTCCCAGCATTAAACAACATTAAAATGTAGACAGCCAACACTTTGTATTGTTAGTGCAACCCAACTAAATTGCACCTCTACCTGCACCTTATTCACTCTGGCCTATCAAATTATATAAAGTGAATGCTTGTCTTCCACCTGCGCCCATGTTCAGATTGATCCCGCCTGGGAGCAATTTTTAAGCAATATTAATCAAATTTTTTTATTTTTTATTTAACCATTGGCTTCCAATAGCTCTCAGACATAATAACGTAACCATAATTGTATTTTTTGTGCATTACCAAATTTGCCCTCCAAGAATAGTCAAATATGACGGCTAGGGGAGTTAAGATCTAACATTCAAAATTGACTGTCCAATTTGCTGTCTACCCATAATTCATTGACACATCATTTTACACCTATTTTTAAACACAAGTGAAGTGGCAGTGAGGAAAAAAAAATTGAATATATTAATTTAAAATGATGCGTCAATGAAACATTGGATGGACAGCAAGTTGAACGGCAGATCTCAACTCTTAACAGGGGCATATAGACTATTTCATTAGTTCTTGGCCCATTTTTTCTGATCCTTCAAGAAAAATCCTTTTTTATACAATAAAGAAGTCAAAAATTGCAGCAAAAATGGGACCCATTTGTAAGATATAAGTTTGATCAAAATTTTGATTAAAATTGATTAAGAATTACTTTCAAACAAGCGCTATGTTTAAAACTCAATTCTCACTAGCCGATTCGACTTTGAAACCGGCTGAACAGAGGGTCCAGCCGGGAACTAATGGAAATACCAAATGAACAGCACCAAAATTCTACTAAACAATTTAATTGTATCCCTAAAGGCGTTTCATCTTAAAAAAGAAAAAAAAAAAAATGTTCTCAAACGGATGCATCATGCATGGATTTGCATTGACGAAAAACTGTTCTACATGATCAAAACCTCGATTCCTTCGCAAACAACTTGAGTGGTTTTTCAACCAACTTAATCTGTACAAGACTTGCAATTACAAGAAAACGAAACAAGAGTTACAGAAGTCAATCTCACTCTTCAGAATACCTTCAAAATTTTGCTTCTACGAGTCATACTTCCTTCCTGGCTCGAACAGCTTTCCATTTTAGCGTCAACAACACCTTGTCCTCGTGATGTGAGGCGACTCACTAATAATTCCAAGGCTTCCTTCATCCACCAATAATGGCAAACTTTCCTAGCTTCTCTTACACTCACCTGTAAGAATCAAGTTGCTATGTGTAATCAGCACTTGAAATCATCAATTCTAAAGATTTTAGCTATGTACACGAAAATTATTTACCCATATTCTTTGGCGTACTTCTTTCTCCGGCCAAAATTCTAGCTGCTCTTTGACTAGTAATGGAAACATATGTCCCTCGTAACAGTTGCCATTGTTGTTGCTTTTAAAACTCCATTCACCCAATTCAGACTGAAAAGTGGAAAAACCCTTTATCAGATATGTAATCTCTCATAGAAGAAATATTAGCCGAAACATTATGCTTCCTCAAAATTTTCTTTCTTGAAAACATATGCAGAAACTAACACGTAATTGATGTAAAGATCAAACAAAATTCTGCTTACTTAAAATTACATTGTTTGGATTGGTTAAGGTAAATCTTCCAAAAGACAACATTTTACTAGGAAATTCAGAGGCTATCAGATGCATCAAGAAATGAATCTCTCTATTAAAGTACTTGTAAACAACAGAACGAAAGACTCAAATTTCTTTGAATCCTCAAATTTAAGGTTACAAATATCAAAAAGTAATTCATCGCTGGCGAGTGTGTGAATATATGGGAGAACTTAACTCTGTGGTTCGCAAACTTTGGGCGTGTCCTTATTTAGAATTTTGGATGTATACCTGTAGATGCAATTTGCAACATCTAAGTGGCTTTTAAGAAGGATCAATCACCAGTGAAAAAAGGAAAAATGGCCCAAGTGTTCAGAACTCTTTTGAATGATTCCATAGGTTATAAACATTTTCTTCAACTTTGGTGAACTTTTTAAGACTTAAACCCTTAATTATTCTCTTGCGTTGTAATAATGCTAAATTTGGGTCACTTTTTTTTTTTTTAAATTGTGTCTTTTTTTGAATTTGACACATTTTAATTTGTGTCACTTTTTTTTTTTAATTTGTGTCACTTTTTTGAATTTGTCACTTTTTAAAAAAAAAATTGTCACTTTTTTACGTATGCCACTTTTTTTTTTTATGTTTTTGTCACTTTTTTTTTTTTTTAGTGTTTGTAAATTTTTTTATTCCCTTGATTTCTATCTTTTTTAATGACAAATATCACTTTTTAATAAAGGTGATAATGTATGTCTTTTTTTAATAAAAAAGTGACACTTAACTTTTAAAAGTAACATTCTATCACTTTTTTTTTAATTAAAAAGTGACACAATTTTTACAAAAAAGTGACATTGTGTCACTTTTTAATAGTATGTATTATTTTTTATTTCAAAAAAACTTTTCATATGATTTTTCAAAAGACTCTTAATTTTAAGGGTATTTTTGTAAGTTGCCCAAAAAAATTTTACACATGAAAAATTGATTTTTTTACCAAAAAAAATTAAAAAATACCTTTAAAAAAAACTTGTTGGGCCGGGGGGACCCTCAAATCCATCCCTGGCAGGGGCGGAGCTACACTTGGACATGGGTGGTCAGTGGACCACCAAAAAAATCTGATTTTTTTTTTAATTTAAAAATAAAAATGGAAAATCAAAATGTTCTTCCTTTCTACCGTATTATGTACTTCTTAACATCTTATTGTTTCCACTATAATTTGTGGTTGGGAATTTGGTTTTACGTGCTTCAATTTTCATAGTAAAATATTAGCTGCTTATTGTGTTTTTGTCTATATTTTTTTCTTGAATAAATATAGGGACCATAGGGGAAATTAGGATTTTGTATATATATTTATTAAGATAACTCGATTTTAGTCTCAATTGCTAATGATTTGCGAAACGGCAAATACACCCATATTAACCTTTAAAAGCTGAAGGTTGCTATCATCGGCCTATCTCAGAATAGGACATGATTTTTATTAAATAAGACTTACTGGCTTCGTTAAAGTTAAACATCTTGCCTAAAGTTATATGTCTTCCGTCAATTAAAAAACACAGAACTAAATATTGAAATAATTTTAAGTTTTAGAACTTCCTCATTTCATTTTTAATCTGCATGCGTTTGGTTCATTTCTCTAACTATTTGTTTAGAGAAAATTTAGGGCTCAGAGAATGGTAAGGGAATTAGGATTTCAATTTTCATCTCTGGTCTATGTGCAATCTCCAACTACTTCTTGGAAGGTTTTAATTAGCAATTTCTTGAAAAGATTTAATAATAGAACAAAGCGATATTTTATCTATTGAAAAAAATATATTTAACGAAATTGATAATGATATAATTATACAACATTTTCAAAATATGAAAACACATCGGGAACAATTATAGTTATATTATTTATAATTATTTGTGCTATATAATTTTTGCCCACCCAAAAATATATCCTAGCTTCGCCACTGAGAGAGGGCCGTTCGTTCTGTCTTGTTGCCATCCATAGTTTTAAAATTTTGATTTAGAATCCTATGGGTTAGGTGAAATTCTTGACAAATCAAAGATGGAAAGTCATAAGAAAAATGTACAAAGTAGTTTGAGTATGATTATGAAGGAAGCATTTGAAAAGCATCTAGTTACTTCCAGAAGTATAATCTGTATTTAAGAGCCTTTCTAATAGTTCTTTAAAGTCGAGTACTATTTATTTTAAAGAATCCATCGTTAAAATTTTGGTCCAAGATATTCTTCAAAATAACATTATAAAATAAATAGTGGATTTGACTCTCTTAAATGCATTCAAAATATTCTAATTTTCAATGCTCCATATATTAACCAGACTAAAAATATATATATAAAGAAAATAAAGTAATAATTTGGAGGAAAGTTTGACAAAAAGTACAAGTTTCGCACTCGAGCATTTTCGATTTACTATTTTTATTTTTACTTTTACTTTTTCGATTCTTCTAGCAAATTAAAATTGTTCTTAATGTGCTTTCAAACTTAATTATTTAGGTGAATAATATTGTCCTTTATTTAACATTTTAATTTTGTATAATAAGAGATTGTTCAAAATGGTACCAGCAAAAGTTATAACTTAAGGTTTTTTTTTTTTTTTTTTTTAATGACCCATCTATAAAAATAATGTGTATCAAGTATGTGATAGAAAAATTAATTTGATTAACATGTGAAGGGACTTACAGAAAACTAGAAAAAATGGTATGTGCAAAAGTTATAATATGTGTATCAAGTATATGATAGAAAAATTAATTAGATTAACATGTGAAGAGATTTATTGAAAACTAAAAATGAATAAACAGATCTCCCATTTTAGACACATGACTCCTCTCTTGGCTTGATCTCGTGCTATTGTTGAAAGTATGAGACAAAGCTAGATCGTAACAAAAACAATTTGATGGATCGAGTGTGATAGTTTATTTTTATGTTGGTAATCATGTTCATTTTTTCCTGGGGGTAGGGTACTACGAAAAGAAGTTGATCATAGTATGAGGGCGGTTGGGCAAGTCGGCCCCCATCGTAGTACATCTCCCTTTCAAGGAGGCAGCAGGGATTCAAATTCCCAACCGCCCTCATACTAATTCCCCTAGGGGTGGGGTACTACGAAAGGAAGTTGATCATAGTATGAGGGCAGTTGGGCAAGTCATAGGGATGGCAATTTGAACCGTCAAAATCGAAAATCGTGGTTAACTGAACCGAATGGGGCGAAAAAAATCGAACCGATGGTGCAATGGGGTGGTTATGGTTTTGATTTTAATAAACCAGTTCGTGGCGGTGCGGGTATGGTATTTACGCCGTCGAACCGAAACCGAACCGATTACCAGCTAAAAAAACACACACACACACACACACACAATTGAATTGATTATTTGGCTTTACACTACTTTTCTATCTAGCTCAAAGCAAAATCCCCCCATTATATCTACCTAACTCAGCCGACCAGCCAACTTACCATTAACCCATAATAATAGCATTAGGATGACAGTATATAAATGCAAACCCTACTCTCCACAAACCACAAACTTAAGCACGACTCCTTTTATTGTTAATTTTTTCTATTGTGTGTAGAAAATTTTACTTGTTCATCATACTCTAGAGCTTGTGCAACGTTTAGCGAGAAGGAAGCTGATGAAGAGGTACATTTTTTTTATTTAAATCTTAGTTAAGACCATTCTAAATAGGTAGTATTGTTGTATTCTCTACTTACATATCTTATTTACTATATAGGAATCAACTTTGAGTATTGATTTATGCTAGTAAGACTTGTAGGAAAGAATGAATCAAGTAATTTCGATGCACAACAATTAAGAATGAAGGAAAAGTTTAGTATTGTTATATTTATAATATTGTTTGTTAAATTTGTATTTTGTAATTGAAAATTGGGATAATGTTTGTATTTTCGTTAGGAATATTGTTTGATAATGTTTGCATTTTCATTTGAAATATTGTGTTTTTATTTTCTTTGACTTTTTTCATAAATCGTTTTATATCAATTTGACGAATGAACTTATAAGAAATAATTTATTTTCGTGATTATTAACCGAACCTAACTGTGCCGAACCGAACCGATTTACGTGGTTGTGGTGAGGTTATGGTATGATCAAAAAATTGGTGGTGCGGTTATAGTTTTAGCCGAACCGACCCATAACCGAACCGTTGCCAACCCTAGCAAGTCAGCCCCCATCATCTAGTGGTTTAGGACATCTCTCTTTCAAGGAGGCAGCGGGGATTCGAATTCCCCTGGGGGTAGGGTACTACGAAAGGAAGTTGATCATAGTATGAGGGTGGTTGGGCAAGTGAAATTCTGTTCATATATAAGAGATCGGCAAATTATACTTTTCTTTGGCAAAAATTAGAATTTAGATTTTAATTCAAATCAAAGTCAACATTTAATGTTAATCACGTATTTTATGGGACTTAGAACTTTTCAACTGCACATTTCATCGACTTTTATCGAAATCTACTAAAAAAATTGATTTTAATCTCCACTAAACAAGGCTATATGTGTTGATGGTTGGTGCTAGTGGCGGATTCAGCACCTAGCGAGCACCTGCAGTCGGATCCAGCACCTAGCTAGCACCCGCGGCCGTGCGTGAGGAATCCATTGGGAGCAATTCTTTTATGGTTGATAATAGATAAACTTTTTAGCTTATATTACTAGTAAGTAGGTTAGAACTTGCATATGCATGCTGTAAGTCCGTGGTTTGAATCCTTTACCGACCAATTTATTGTCCAGTATTTTTAGTTCTACAATTTTTTCCAAAATTAATGCAATAAGGAGGGCACCAAAAGGGATTTGAACCTGTGAGCTCTTGTTAGAATTATTGAAACTTGACCATTATGTCATTTCTTGAATTTTGACTCTATGTTTAACAAAATAATATACATTGGATTTTAGCAGGTTTAATGCAATTGTAAATATTTGAATCGATGCCTTTCCTTTGAATTATACAACTTGACAACAATGTCATTTGGTGAGTACAATTCATTCTTATAACAGAATTATATATGTTCAATTTGAACAAAATAATTGTTATATTTAAATTTTAGACCTTGTTCGATTCCTATTTATTTCAAAATATATTTTTCTATTATTTTCAAACATATATTTTTCAATAAAATAATATTACATGCAAATTCAAAACTTTTCTTTATTTTAGCCACACATTCTCCATTAAATTACTATTTCAAAATGCATTTTTTACAAAAATAAAAAATAAAAAAGACATCAAATGGATTCTTAATATTTTATTGCAGTCGATGGTCAACTATCACCCGTGCTGACTCAAAATCCTAGATCTACCACTAATTGATGCA